CTTCACAGGGCAGCAGCTTTCTGGTTTGATTACTACAGTGAGCTCTGCATGGTTCTACCCTTGAACACAGTGGCCCAGCAATTGGTTGGAGTTAGCCATCGTATGGAATATTTTATTCCCCTCTGAAGGGGCGCCACTGATTGCTAGTAGGTTTCTGGGCTTAGCTTATGGTACTGCCCATGTGACCCAATCCAATACACATTTACTGAGGAGTAAGAGCCACTGTGCTCAATGTAGTAACAATGCATAGGACGGAAGTTATAAAATCCTAAATAGCCTGGGTCCAGGAACAGAGAACATTATCACTCGTATGAATTTTCCGGGGTGGTGCAATCTTCAGGAAAGGGTCTGCTTCTTATTTCCATACAACTGGGCATCAAACTCATGTCCACTAGAAGCAGGGACTTCCAGATGGTGGAGTCTGTGACCCACTGCTGTAGGATTCGAACTCACAGCTGCCCCAACCAGCATGCCCTGGGGTGATGAGTGTTGCAGTCTGCAATGTTCAGAGGGTCTCTGTACTAAATGGATACTTTGACTACTGCAATAATCTTGAATTGTTGATTTAATCTGAACTGTGTGTGTGGGTTTTTTACTGTTGTATGTTAATTGTTGTATTGAAATTGCATCCCGTTTTATTTTATAAAATAAATAACAAGTGAAAGAAGCAGTTATTCTGAATTAATACAACTGAATGGCATAAATGTGCCCTTACGTAGTGTACACACCATTGTTTCTTATAAACAACTCACTCAGCAGAAAAACAATGGACTGTTGAGATCACCAAGGCATCCTTCAGTGGAATAAGCAAGACAAAGCTGTCTCTCCACAAGAACTAGAAAACCTTGCTGTCAGCAAAACCATCCTCAACCCCAATGGCAATGAGCGTCACACCAGTTTCCCATGTCGCTGACCTCAGGAAATTTAACTTCCTCTTAACCTTCGGAATGAACCAGTATCAGAAGGAATGTGGAAGGACTGTCTACAAAAATGCTGTGAAATTCATGCAGTGTTGCACATAGAATCCTATCGTGTTGCCATGGTGACCAGGAGTGGCGGCGGCTGGGGGAGCCAGTGACTCAAGAGTGAAAACTATGCTGAGTCAGGAAGTTTTGTTTTCTTCCTGTGTGTTCCAAGAATACAGTACATAGTCATTGAAAACCCAGGCCTAATGGCAGTCGGCTCAATCAAGAGTGGCTCATCTTCTCTCCATCAATAATTCTAACGAGGTGGTAAGTTATGCCAGATTGATTAATGTAGAGAAATAGATGGGACGTCAGATAGGTGGCATTAAAATGGTAACCCTCTTGGTTTATTGAAGCAAGACTCGGCCACAAGGAACAGCTGTTGCCTACAGCGCAACACTGCTGATTCCCTCATCTCTTTCCAAAACGATCGAAATACAGTGGTGCCTCGCAAGACGAAATTAATTCGTTCCGCGAGTTTTGTCGTCTTGCGATTTTTTTCGTCTTGCGAAGCACGGTGTCGGAAAAGTTTTGGAAAAGCTTCAAAAATCACCAAAGTCTTCAAAAACCTCAAAAAAGGCTACCACACCGCGTGCTATGAGTTGCTCCTCGAAGTCAAGTCGCAACTATATTAACGGTTTTAAGAAAAAGGAAACAAACTTGCAAGACGTTTCCGTCTTGCGAAGCAAGCCCATAGGGAAAATCGTCTTGCGAAGCAACTCAAAAAACCAAAAACCCTTTCGTCTTGCGAGTTTTTTGTCTTGCGAGGCATTCGTCTTGCGAGGTACCACTGTACAGTAGTTTCAGTAAAACCCCTACACCTTTGTCTCGCAGAGATTAATTCCAGAGCTTGCACATGGTGATCAATTCAGCCTGACCCCCTCCTTTGGCAATCCTCACAGAACTCTAGCCCAATGGTTGCCATTAATCTGATTTGAACTGATTTTATAATGAGATGATTTTAGAATGTTGTATCATTTTACTGTTGTTAGCCGCTCTGAGCTCGGCTTTGGCTGGGGAGGGCGGAATATAATAAATTATTATTATTATTAAGGTGTGTTACTTTCTACAAGTACAGTGGTGCCCCGCAAGACGAATGCCTCGCAAGACGAAAAAACTCGCTAGACGAAAGGGTTTTCCGTTTTTTGAGTCGTTCCACAAGACGAATTTCCCTATGGCAGTGTTTCCCAACCTTTTTTGGGCAAAGGCACACTTGTTTCATGAAAAAAATCTCGAGGCACACCACCATTACAGCCCCGTGACGTCAGCGCGCAGCGTCACGCCGGGAGGGACACACGAAAGTGTAAGATTCAATTTTTTCCCCTCCCCCTTGCCTTCCTTCTGTGCCAACCGCCAAAAAGCCAAGAATCGCGGGACCGCCGGCGGAGGGGGGGAGGGCGAGCGGAGGCAGCGGCGAGCCCCGTTCCTTCCCATCCGCCCCATTCCGTGCAAGGAGCGCGAACAGGTGTGAGAAGGGGGTCAAACCAGCGGGTCGGCGCCGGGGAACCTCCAAGCTTTGGGGGTGGGGGGGAGGAGGCAGCAAAGCGAGGCAGGAAGGAGAGCGTGGCTTGGCGAAGTACTCGGCGGCGAAGGCCAGCAGGTCCAGCGGCCGGTGCCGCAGCACCTCCACCGTGTAGCCCTGCAGCAGCTCAGTCAGACCCGGCGGGATCTCGATGCTCATCTTGTAGCCGAGGCGCGCGGGAGACTCAACGGACGGGCCCGGGGGAGAGAGAGAGAGAGAGACACGACGGAGAGAGAGCGGGAGTCCTTGCTCGCCGTCGCCACCGCTACAACTACTGTGGCGGTTGGTCGTGGTCGTCGCCGCCGCCGCTGCCGCCCACCTCTATCTATCTCTCCCCCTCAGCTTTCTACGCGGGCCTCGAGCCGGAGGTGGGGGGTGGCCGCCGCTGCTTTCTCCGCCTCCACGTCCTGCCTCCTCCTCCTCGAGCCCTCCGTCAGCCCTGAGGGAACCGCCGCGCTCGCGCCGCCGCTCTCTGACACGCGAGAAAGAGAAAGGAACGGAGCGGCGGAGTAGTCGGGGGAAGGAGGGATCGGAATGGAAGCACGAGGCGAGCTGCGCATGCCCAGCAGGAAGCGGCGGAGAACGCCACAGAGAGAGAGAGAGAGAAGCAAGGGAGGGCGGGGAGTGGGCGGGAACACGCTTCATGCGTCACAATAACGGACAAGAGGCGCTCGAGGGATAGATTAGGACCTAATTTGACTTTTACAAAAAAAAAAAAATCTTTCGAATTTTCCCCACGGCACACCAGGCAACATCTCGCGGCACACTAGTGTGCCGTGGAACAGTGGTTGGGAAACACTGCCCTATGGGCTTGCTTCGCAAGACGAAATGTCTTGCGAGTTCTTGCGAGTTTGTTTCCTTTTTCTTAAAGCCGCTAAGATGCACTAAGCCGTTAATAGGCGCTAAGCTGCTAATAGCCGTGCTTCGCAAGATGAAAAAACTGCAAGACGAAGAGACTCGCGGAACGGATTAATTTCGTCTTGCGAGGCACCACTGTACACGGTTAATAATATCTAGCATTTATATAGTATTTAAAGTATGCTATAATTTGTTATGATTCTTATAACCTTATATAGTATCCCTGTATTGCAGATGGGGGCAGGCTGAGGCTAAGGAACTTGACTAAGATCATCTAGTGACCTAATGGCGGTGGCAACATTTGAACCCAGGGGCTTCCTAGGCTGCACCACACCAGGCCCCGTCCCAGAACATTTTCATTAAAACATCCCCGCTTCTGTAGCCCATTTATTTACATGCAGAACACATGAGCCCAGTATTACTACATATTCCCATGGCCTACTGGATGAAGTACAGGCCACCCCAACACAAAACAAATGTCTATTAAAAAAGGCTTTCCTGTGATAGTTTGGCCATAGGTCCTTTTTAACCAGGCCTTTGCCTGACTTGATCTACATCCTATACCCTTTTTAAAATGCTGGCTCTTTTTGGGGTTTTTTTTAAACTGGGTTGTTGTTTTTGTTTTGATTTTATGTACCGTATTTTTTGCTCTATAAGATGCACCAGACCATAAGACGCACCTAGTTTTTGGAGGAAGAAAACAAGAAAAAAATATTCTGAATCCCAGAAGCCAGAACAGCAAGAGGGATTGCTGCGCAGCGAAAGCAGCAATCCCTCTCACTGTTCTGGCTTCTGGTATAGCTGCGCAGCCTGCATTCGCTCCATAAGACGCACACACATTTCCCCTTACTTTTTAGGAGGGAAAAAGTGAGTCTTATAGAGCAAAAAATACAGTATTTAATATTTTATGTGAACCGTCCTGAGACCTTCAGGTATAGGGCAGTATAGAAATTAAATAAATATTAAATAAATAATGTTATCACTCGAAGCATTTTTAGAATTTGTGTCCTCCCTTTACCCCAGCAGCTTAGCAAGTGGATATGCAAAATAAAAATTAAAAAATGGGACCCTTACATTGCTACATTCTCAACTCCAGCCACCCAAAATGCCTCTTTAAAACGAAAGGATAGATTGGAAGGTTCTTAGTGTGACAGCAGGGCAGGAAGCCCTGGGGAGGAATGGGGTGGCAGATAGAAATGGTGGTCTGGTCTCCAAGCTGCAGTTTGCTGCTCCAGATGTTTTGCAGGAGGGATTCGATTTCTTGAATGCGCTAAAGATCTTTAACGGATACATCTTCTGACAAGGTGGGCCTGTGAAAGCTTCTCCCCTAATCAATGTGTTAGTGCCTTCAGGTGCCACAAGAATCTGCGATCGTTCTCATACTCTGTTGGTCACTCTCGCAAAACCCCAAAATAACAGGAGTTGGCAGAATGATCTGTCAGCTGTGAGTCTTCAACACATGGATTCAGAAAGTAATGGTCTCTCCCCAATCCACACACTTTAGACAGCCATATGTGTTCCTTTGGTTGTGAAGCACACAATTAACATTTCTCTTCCCCCATTAAGTTCTTTGGTGGAATTTACAGGAAATATAGCAAACCAATAAACAATGACTACTAATCAACTAAGACACAAATAGGTATCAAAGCAGCCAATTCCTGTACAAAAGTATTTATTTAACAGACTACTGCATGGTGGAATGTGCACAACTCAGGCACCAATCCTAGACACTTACCAGGAAGTAAGCCCCAAATAACTTAATGGGACATAATTCTGAGTAAAGGTGCACAAGATGGTGCTATTAGACAGTTTCTCAATAAAACCAGCCAGTGTCCCTAAATTGGAAGATCATTTGGATTTGGAAACAGGATTCTCTCCTGAATCTCTCTCTCACACAAACCCCGCCTCAAGAATATACCTAAATTACCTAACTGGTCCACCCCCAGTTGTGGGTTGGAAACCCCTGTTCCACCCACACTGATAGAGATTTGGATATAGGATGTATGTAAAAAAGACACAGAAAAGGGGCAGTTCTACTTAGGATATTTTAATTATTATATTTTAATCCTACTCTTCATCCACAAGACTCAGACCAGAACAGGTAACTCTCTCCCATTTTGTCCTCACAAGAAAGCCTTCAAGGTCGGTTCGACTGACAGTGACTGGCTGAAGGAGACCCAGATAACTCCATGACAGAGCAAAGGTTTGAACCCAGGGCCCTCTGACCCAAATCTAGCACTCTCAACAATCCCCATACTAGACTACCCAAGCCAGACAATCTGAGAAGTGTGCTTTGCCATTCTTTGCAATGTTGCAGAAAATGCTCTCCTGTTGGTGCCTTCTAAGATGTAGTGCTGCCCGAACGACCGCTTGGTTTATTTAAGCTAGTGGAATGTCAGCATCTTTTCCTATTGTTCTCCTGTCCCCCTGTATTCAGTCATGGTTGGTCCAAGAAGCAAGAGCATTTTCTCTTCCTCATCCTTTTTTTAAAAAAAGGATTCCTATCTCTGCTTTCACCCCAATGCCTCCCTCAGTTTTCCTCCTCCTCCTGGTTACATTAAGAAAATAAAACTGGAATTGCAATTTCTTTTTCAGCCTTAAAAGCTGCTTCATAGTCTTGTTCTTATGACGGCTTCTCCATTCTGAGGGTTGCTCTAGATCAGTGATGGAGAGACTGTGGTGCTCCAGGTTTCGTTGGTCTTCGACTGCCATCAGCCCCAGTCGGCATGGCCAATGGTCAAGGGCAGGAGATGTGGTTCACCAACATCTGGAAGGCCACAGCTCCCCCCAGCCCTGACCTGAGAGCTGGTCCAAGACTGCCAAGAGTCGCTTGACATCTCCAGCAGGAATCCTAAGGGGAGGTCAGTCAGGTAGAAGTCCAGATTCCTGGTTATATTCCTGCTTGTCCTCAAGTTGGTCCCTCCATTAGGCAGAATGAGATAAGACAGGTGTGATTGCATTCTGGACAAATCCACTTTGGATTACAGATGTGGTAAGGGCCATGTTTTTAATGAAGGGGAGGTGGCAAAGCTCAGAAGCGAAGCACTTGTTTTGCATGGAGAAGGTCCCCAGTTCCTGGCATCTCCAGTTAAAAGGTTCAAGTAGTAGGTGGTGGGAAGTCAGCATAATCCAGGGCCAGCTATCAGAGTAGCGGGCTAGAGGATCAGATAGTCTGGCTTTGTATAGCGCTGGTATAAATCTCGCTCCTATAAATCTCCCTGCATGCAGTAAGCTAGCATATCAGCAGACTGCTCTGCTAAAACCCTTGACTGACATGCCAGTTTACTACGTGCAGAGTATTAATTTTCTTATTTTACATAAGGGAAGATGAAAAAAATATATGACAATGCTACTTGCAGGGCTAAAGTGGTATGGGCTCCAGAATGCTACCTGGCTCCAGAATGCCAGGGCAGGAGAACCTGTGGCCAACCAAATCCAACTCCTGAGACCCAGCCAGCTTTGCCAAGGCTTAGGGATGATGGGGAGCTGGCAGTTCCACAATATTTGGAGGCCGACAGCTTCCCCAGCTCTAAAGCAGACATCCCCAACCTGGCGTTCTCCAGATGTTTTGGTTGCAACCCTCTGCTGGTGCTGGGAGTTGTAATCAAAACATCTGGAGAACATCAGGTTGGGGAAGACTGCTGTACATAGTGTGAAAAACGAGCAGACAATGTTGTGCCCTGTAGATGTGGTTGTACTACAACTCCAATCATCAGCAACTACTGGTTATGCTTGCAGAGGCTGATGGGAGACCGACAACATGGGCAACATGTTGTCTATCCTGGTGGAGAACAGAGCATAGGCTACTGGAACATAGAAAGTGGAGGAATTGGCCCTTTCCCAAGTTATTCGATGGCCTATGAGGGCTTGGTACCTCCTTTCTCTTTGATCCTTAAAATTCAAGCCTGTGAAAAGCATAAATAAAATGCATAATCTAACCAAATCCTGCTGCTTGCCTCGGTTAGACTAGATGACATTTCAGGCTACTTCTGGTAATGAGATTCTTAAATGTTCAGAGAGGACAGGATGCTGAGGCAGGTCCTGTGCTGGATGTTGGGACGTTCTTCTGCAGCAGAAGGCTGGGTTTCCTTGCCCGCTTCTGTGAGGAGACTTGCAAGACCTCAGCGGCAGCCAATAATTTCTCAGCTCAGGAATTCTGGTGCTCAAGGGCAAAGACGACAACAAACCCTACAGAACGTAATGGCACCTTCCTCTCGTGAACTGACAGGAATGCAGCAGAATCGAAACCGAAAAGAACGTGAACTATCAGAGCGAATCACCTCCCCAGTCGATGGTACCCAATGGATAAGACTTTGCCTCCATGAGACATCCAGAATCTGCCGCCTGAGGCAAGGGCTGCCTCACTTCGCCTCATAGTAGGGCTGCCCCGGCATCTAGGGAGTATAATGCCGCCCAGGATTCAATGCTAAACTCTCTAGAAAGCCTGCGAGTGGGCTGTGGAAGTGAGAGGCTCCGAGGCGGGTCAGCCGCTTCCTCTCAGGGGGACCTGCTGTGCTCCATGTCCCGCCTCTTCCTCCACTGGAGCATTTTGAGGAGGCTGAGGCTGGCTTTGAAGAGCCGGTCGTGCTGGAAGATCATCTGATGGAAGGCGTTGAGGGGCAAGTTCCCACTGGGGTCAGCGTGCTTGAGGGTGGTGATGGGCGTGTAGAGGCTGTTGGTTTGGTACCGAAATGGAGGCTTCTCTGAGGTGATCACTTTCATAGTATGCTGCCAGGAAGAGTGCGAAGCAGAAGGTTAGAAAACAACAACAACCACAACCACAACAACACTCAGCCAGGATCACCATTTCAGAATTCATCAGGGGGTGCAAAGAGATTGCTGCAGGAAAGGCAGAATTCCTTTTCTGAAAGCCTGCACTTCAGCATGGTTAAGATTAAACACACTAATGATAAAGTGACACGTGCTATTAAAGTAAGATGGGGAATATGCAGGAGAAATGATTCTGAGGAGATATGGAAGGTGTTTGTAGAATTTGTACTGTTAAAATGGAAAGGAACCATCGCAAGAGGTGTCAAAATTTTGGGAGGCTGGATAGTTACAGTGGAATGGTCTCATGGTGGGGTGCACATTTTTATTCTTATTTATTTATGATTATTACTTTGTCAAAATAATATTTATATATATATATATATATATATATGCGCATTTATAAATAAATAAAATTTTAGGAACTTTTCATCGGGATTTAATCATAGGCAACCATATATCCTGTGGTTATTTTTGATAACCAATAACAGACCGTCACCTATTATACAAATTATACAATTTTTATACAAGGGAAATTGTGCCTTTGGCCCAATTCAGGAATAAGTAAATAAAATACCGTACTTCTCCATGTATAAGACTAGTTTTTTTCCTTTTAAAAGCATGCTAAAAAATGGGGGTCGTCTTATGCATGGGTAGCGCATAGGGTGGATGTTTGATGGGTTGCTATCGCGGCTGTTAGCAGCTATTGTGCGTGTTATTGGTTGCTGCGTCAATGGGTGGTGTTGACTGGCTGACGCTCCAGCAACTGGGCGAGCAATTGGCAGCTTGTGCCGGCGAGGGGACAGATGAGAGGCGGATTTTGCGATGAGTGCAGGTGAGAGATTTTCAGCAACGCCCCCCAAAAGCTCAACAACTCTGTGCTGCCATCTCCCCCCATTTTGTTAAATTTGAGTCCCCCAAAATAGGGTGCATCTTATAGATGGAAAAGTACGGTACCTTGTACACAGACCTGCTATACTGTGGGCAGACTAGAAAGCACCCCATCCCAATATTCCTGCATGTTATCACTAGGGGTTGCCACCCCTGTTTGCTCTGCTTGCCGGCACCCTTTTGCCATCCCCACTCCCCCCACACCTGGCCAAGCCCTCCCCCTTTAGATGCCACCCACCTCCTTGCCTATCCCCTCATAACTCACCCAAACCTCTCCTCTCCTCAGTTTGCCCCTAAGCTCAAGCCCTTTTAACTCCAAACTGCTCTCTGATCCCCACCACAAACCCCACTGCAGCCTTTTTAATGAAGCCTTTTGCCCTCCTTTAAGCAGCTCACCTGGGGGGCTGCCTGCAACCTGGGCTGCTTCCCCCCTTGCATCCCTGCTGTTCTGACACCACACTGGAGTTGGTGTGGCCACCGCAAACTGTAGCACGGCAGCAGCCTTGCACTTTTGTGTACAATATGGCTTTAACCATGTTTTCCGTTTGATTCCGTCTGCAAGGAGGTTGCTTGAGGCCTGATGGCAAAGGGGGCTGGAGGAGTTAAACCAATCACCTCATTGGACCCAAGACTGGAAGTCACATATATGCATGGAACGTGACCTTTGGCGATTTAATCAAGGAGATACAAAAATAGGAGATGAGCCTATTGTTCAAGTCCAAACGTAATCAGTGACTATCACTGCATGTCTCCACAAAAGAAAACGCTATCTGGGTTGGGACTCACTTCATCCTGACTCTCCAGAAAGCATCTAAATATAGTCGGAAGTGAGGAATGGCAATCAATTGTTCAGTTTGTCTGAAGCTTTTGATTATGAGGGTATAAATACTACAGGCTTCACAGCAAACAATTGTTCTGGCTCCTCAGATCTACTTTGCTGAATATCAGCAAAGCACTTCTCTTAGCTTATCACTTTTTACTTCCCTAAAACATTACTATCCATTTCCTGCCTCTTGGACATTTGTTTCAAGAAATCATCACCCACCATCTCAATGGGATGATGCTCTGCCATAGATTCTGACCAAAGGGTTGAATTCCTTCAGTAATTGTTATCCAGCTACATTGGCCGGTGGAGGCAGCTATCTGTTTTCAAACCTAGAACTGGGAATTATGCTGCATTATAGAATCCCAGAGTTGAAGGGACCCCAAGGGCCATCTAGTCCAACCCTCTGCCATGCAAGAATCTCAACACACAGTCTCCCATCCAATTTGAAACCATATCAGACCCTGCTTAGCTTTGCAAATGTGGTAGCAATTTTATTGCTGCACCACTAGGAGACAGTGGCATGACTATTTTTCCGAAACCACCATCTGACGTTTCAAAGACATCTGAAGGCAGCCCTGTTTAGGGAAGTTTTTAATGACTGATGTTTTAATGTATTTTTAATCTTTTGTTGGAAGCTGCCCAGAGTGGCTGGGGAACCCAGCCAGATGGGTGGGGTATTAATAATAATAATAATAATAATAATAATAATAATAATATATTATTTATACCCCAGCCACTCTGGGCGGCTTCCAACAAAATATTAAAATACAGTAATGCATCAAACATTAAAAGCTCCCCTGAACAGGGCTGCCTTCAGATGTCTTCTAAAAGTCTGGTAGTTGTTGTTCTCTTTGACATCTGGTGGGAAGGCGTTCCACAGGGCAGGTGCCACTACCGAGAAGGCCCTCTCCCTGGTTCCCTGTAACTTGGCTTCTTGCTGTGAGGGAACTGCCAGAAGGCCCTCGGCGCTGGACCTCAGTGTCCGGGTAGAACTATGGGGGTGGAGACGCTCCTTCAGATATACTGGGCCAAGGCCGTTTAAGGCTTTAAAGGTCAGCACCAACACTTTGAATTGTGCTTGGAAACGTACTGGAAGCCAATGTAGGTCTTTCAAGACCGGTGTTCTGTGGTCTCGGCGGCCGCTCCCAGTCACCAGTCTAGCTGCCACATTCTGGATTAGTTGTAGTTTCCGGGTCACCTTCAAAGGTAGCCCCACATAGAGCGCATTGCAGTAGTCCAAGCAGGAGATAACCAGAGAATTATGATGATGATGAATTGAGGAACACTGCTGCAAGGGTGCTGATGCTTCTTGTAGCTTAACCACAGATCAAAGTGGCAGCAATTTTAAACCTAGCAAGTGCTGTCTGCAACAAAATATTGTGGCACAACTTCCCTCCTGATTCAGGATTCTAGTTAGCTCTTACCTCCAAACAAGGCATTCTACTTCTCCCGCCCCACCATTTTAATAGTTTCTCTTTTCTTTCCCTCTACATTAATGGCTACTGAGTGTTCTCAGGCCTCACTGGGAAGTTTTGCGGTTCTTACCAGGACCAGCACCACTTTTAAAGCGTTGCACTTCTGCACACCTTGGGGCACCTCCATCTTATTCCTCGGTGGCTCTGTTTGAGCTACAAGCCTAGCGGCACTCAGCACCGGAGGTTGCTGTTAGAAGGAACAATGGGCCAATGCCATAAGCCAGAGCTTTCCAAACTGTGTGTCGCGACAATTACCTGACTTTCAGAAGACATTTGAAGGCAGCCTGGTTTAGGGAAGTTTTTAATGTTTGAAGTTTTATTCTGTTTAATATTCTGTTGGGAGCCGCCCAGAGTGGCTGGGGAAACCCAGCCAGATGGGCGGGCTAGAATTACAGTGGTACCTCGGGTTACAGATGCTTCAGGTTACAGACGCTTCAGGTTACAGACTCTGCTAACCCAGAAATAGTAGCTCGGGTTAAGAACTTTGCTTCAGGATGAGAACAGAAATCGAGCTGCGGCAGCACAGCAGCAGCGGGAGGCCCCATTAGCTAAAGTGGTACCTCAGGTTAAGAATGGACCTCCAGAACGAATTAAGTTCTTAACCTGAGGTACCACTGTAATCAATTAGTTAATTAATTATATTATTATTATTATTATTATTATTATTATTATTATTATTATTATTATGTGTTGGCTGCAGCGTGCAGGTGTGTCACGCAAACGCTCTCCCACATTCTTATAAGGGGTTAGTTTAACCTCCAGTTTGCTAGTAAAACCGAATTGCTGCGTCACGAAATGATGCGTGTCTAAAAAGTGTGTCGCCAACATGAAAATTTGGAAAGCTTTGCCATAATAATGAGCAAGGCTGGGCAGCCCATTCTCCTCCCCTCAGAAGCAGATCCCAGCTATCTTTCCTGTGGGCTTGAGAGCAACAAGGGAGAAAGCTTATAATCCTACCTCAGCCACCTCTTCTGGAGATTGCCCCAGCGCAGTGAAGACTTCCTTGGAATAGGCCATGTAGAAGCCCTGAAATATATCCAGCGTTTCTTTATCCACCTGAGAGAGGTCCATATTGGCTGCTTCTTCGTAGAGCTTCCTCTCGAATTCTGTTATCACTGGCCCAGGCTCAATTAAACTGATGCTGCAGAATGAAACAAGCGGTAATTGGGACTAATGAACTTCACCGTCTGCTGAGCTGAGAAACCGGGTAGGGGGGGGGAGGAGACTGCCTGCCTTCACATGACTGAGCTTCACCAGCCAGCATGGATTTTGCCTATAGCCCTCTGGCATTCAGGCCGATCACTTCATCTCTGCTTTAGTAGACTACTATCTGGGTTTAGCACATTCTGTCCTGCTCAGTCTTGCACCGATAATGACCTAAAGAATGGGCTGTCTGCACAAACACGATACCTGTGTTATAGGAATTCTAAGGTCTTATATATAAAATAAAAGTTCATAAATGTACAAGGCAAACACAGACATAAGTATATAAACCACGTGTATGAAACAGTACAGGAGAACAATCCTGAAGCCATTTTGACTCTCCCAAATTAGCCTCAAATATTTCTCTGCAAGGAGGAAGGAAATGGGGAAAGCTTTCTTTGAACTGTAGGGGCTTACACCTCCCTGTAAATACAGTCTGACAAGTATTTGTTAAGCTGAGCACACTATCAATATGCGTAAGAGATTCAGGAACTAAGTATTTACCATCTCAAAGGAATGGCCAGGCTACCCAGAAAAGGAAATCAGATAATAAGGCATTATCAGGTATCCTGGCAGACAGGAGAGAAGCAACACACTCAAATTTCTGCTGGGGATCTGATGTATGTATGATTTTTGGGGGGTGGTCCTGAGCTACAGGGTAGGCAATTTCAAAAGTCTATATAGGAGCTTGCTCACCAATGTTCTGGGTTCCTCTTCTCCTTCCCTGCATGGGGGGAGTGGGAGACCCTGTTGCAACAGTTTAATAAAGATCATGCTAACTAGCTGCTTTGCATCTGAATATACTCTGGTTGGCCTCTGTTATTTTCTCCTACTTACAGAGAACCTACTTAAGGACTCTATACGGCTCTTGGATACCCCATAAGGGAAAAAGGAGCAGTTTTTTTCTTAGAACACCTGGTAAGCAAGACTGACCAAATTCACCTGAGAAAAACACACTGTGGAGTTAAGGCTGTATAATTTTGGTTCACCAGCAGTCCTTTTAAATTAACTCTTTCCCCTCAATTTTCAAAAATTTTCTGCCACCAGGGAGTCGTCTATGTGGGCTATATTAAAGCTTCTGCACAAGTAGATAAATGAAAATACTTACATCCTGCTTTCAGTCCCCAAAAAACCCACACTAATAAAACAGAGTGCTAAAACCAGAGAAAATTGTACAGATATTCAGAGAGAGCAGAGGTAAAATGAACTCAAACCAAAACACTGCCACTAGGAATGTGAATTTAATTAGGACATATCTCTCATGCCTTCCTTCAACCTTGAAGCCTCGGGCACATGAAAGGAAAAGTTTCATTCATCTTCCTCCATGCTAATACAGTGGTGCCTCGCAAGACGAAATTAATTTGTTCCGCAAGTCTCTTCGTCTTGCGGTTTTTTCGTCTTGCGATGCACGGTTTCCCATAGGAATGCATTGAAAATCAATTAATGCGTTCCTAGGGAAACCGCCTTCAGACCAGGTCCGGGGACAGTCTGTCCCCGGACCTCTTCTGAAGGCTGGGGGGGGGGGGACAAGGGCTTTTCTTCCCACCCCCGGCATTTTAAAAAACCCTGGGACAGCGGAGGATTTCTCCGCTGTCCGGGGCGATCTTAAAATGCTGGCGGGCGGCATTTTAAAATCGCCCCGGACAGCGGAGGACTTCTCCGCTGTCCGGGACGATTTAAAAGCCCCTGGGAAGGCAGGCAGGGGGGACAAAGACTTTCGCCCCCTGCCCGCCTTCAGAAGGTGTCCCCGCCCCCCCTCCCCGCTTCGGAACAGCTTTCCGAAGTGGGGCGGCTGGGGCAGATGTCCCCGCCCCCCCTCCCCGCTTCGGAACAGCTTTCCGAAGTGGGGCGGCTGGGGCAGATGTCCCCGCCCCCCCTCCCCGCTTCGGAACAGCTTTCCGAAGTGGGGCGGCTGGGGCAGGTGTCCCCACCCCCCCTCCCCACTTCGGAACAGCTTTCCGAAGTGGGGCGGCTGGGGCAGATGTCCCCGCCCCCCCTCCCCGCTTCGGAACAGCTTTCCGAAGTGGGGCGGCTGGGGCAGGTGTCCCCGCCCCCCGCCCCGCTTCGGAACAGCTTTCCGAAGTGGGGCGGCTGGGGCAGGTGTCCCCGCCCCACTTCGGAACAGCTTTCCGAAGCGGGGCGGCTGGGGCAGATGTCCCCGCCCCCCCTCCCCACTTCGGAACAGCTTTCCGAAGTGGGGCGGCTGGGGCAGATGTCCCCGCCCCCCCTCCCCACTTCGGAACAGCTTTCCGAAGTGGGGCGGCTGGGGCAGATGTCCCCGCCCCCCCTCCCCACTTCGGAACAGCTTTCCGAAGTGGGGCGGCTGGGGCAGATGTCCCCGCCCCCCCTCCCCGCTTCGGAACAGCTTTCCGAAGTGGGGCGGCTGGGGCAGGTGTCCCCGCCCCGCTTCGGAACAGCTTTCCGAAGTGGGGCGGCTGGGGCAGGTGTCCCCGCCCCACTTCGGAACAGCTTTCCGAAGTGGGGCGGCTGGGGCAGGTGTCCCGGCCCCCCCGCCCCACTTCGGAACAGCTTTCCGAAGTGGGGCGGCTGGGGCAGGTGTCCCCGCCCCACTTCGGAACAGCTTTCCGAAGTGGGGCGGCTGGGGCAGATGTCCCCGCCCCCCCTCCCCACTTCGGAACAGCTTTCCGAAGTGGGGCGGCTGGGGCAGGTGTCCCGGCCCCCCCGCCCCACTTCGGAACAGCTTTCCGAAGTGGGGCGGCTGGGGCAAGTGTCCCCGCCCCACTTCGGAACAGCTTTCCGAAGTGGGGCGGCTGGGGCAGATGTCCCCGCCCCCCCTCCCCACTTTGGAACAGCTTTCCGAAGTGGGGCGGCTGGGGCAGGTGTCCCCCCCCCTTCGGAACAGCGTTTTAAAATGCTGGGGGTCGGGAGCGAAGCGCTGCCGACCCCCAGCATTTTAAAATCTCCCCGTGTCCCGGGAAGATTTTAAAATGCTGGGGGTCGGGCTGCCGACCCCCAGCATTTTAAAACCTTCCCGGGACACGGGGAGATTTTAAAATGCTGGGAGTCGGCAGCGCTTCGCTCCCGACCCCCAGCATTTTAAAACCTCCCCGGGACACGGGGAGATTTTAAAATGCTGGGGGTCGGCAGCGAACGCTTCGCTCCCGACCCCCAGCATTTTAAAATCTCCCCGGGACAGGGGGAGATTTTAAAATGCTGGGGCCAGCAGCTAACGCTTCGCTCCCGACCCCCAGCATTTTAAAATCTCCCCGGGACAGAGACTTCTCTGCTGTCCCTTGGAGATTTTAAAATGCTGGGGGTCGGCAGCGAACGCATCGCTCCCGCCCGCCAGCATTTTAAGATCGCCCCGGGCAGGCGGGGGGAAGGCAGGCGGGGGGGAGCAAAGACTTTTGCCCCCCGCCGGCCTTCAGAAGAGGCCTTCTTCTGAAGGCCGGCTGTGGGCGAAAGTCTTTGCTCCCGACCGCCAGCATTTCCCTATGGGCTTTCGTCTTGCGATGCAAGCCCATAGGGAAATTCGTCTTGCGAAGCGCCTCCAAAACAGAAAACCCTTTCGTCTTGCGGGTTTTCCGTCTTGCGAGGCATTCGTCTTGCGGGGTACCACTGTACTGAACTTGGGTGGTCCTGCACATATCAGTTCAGAAGTGAACTCATATTTTTGGGTGGAAGGGTTACCCAAAAATAAGGTGAGGGTTTCAGTCTTCTTGGGCAAATCGCCAGCTACAGAGAAGAATATGAGTTGGTAAATTATTATTTTGGGGGTGGGGGAGGGAATAGCCAGTAGGCGTCCAAGACCTGCAGTGTGTGTGTGTAAAAAGAAAATCAGGGCAAGGCATAGAATTGGCCTGCTTATGTTTTTAACAGCTTACAGAACTCTTGTGGGATTTCAGACTCCGTGAGCATCATGGCATGTAAATTGTGTTTGGAGGAACTCAAGAAACGGCTTCTCAGTGGTGGCTGTACCCTGGCTTTGGAACCTATCTAACCTACTCATTGATAGGTTGCTCACCAGGGCAAGACCGTCTGAGCATATCACACAAAACTTGGCCCAACTGCACTGGCTGCCAGTTAGCTTCTGGAACCAATTCAAAGTATTGGTTTTGACCTATAAAACCTTAAACGGCACAGGAGGACTGCAGTACGTCAAAGACCGCCTCTCCCCATACGAACCAACCCTGACCCGGCAATCATCCTCTGGGGGCCCTTCTTCATGGGCCTCCTCCATGAGAGGTCCAGAGGGTGACAACACAAGAACAGCCCTTTTCTGCAGTGGCTCCCCATTTGTGGAATCCTCTCCCCAGGGTAGGGACGCAGGTGGCGCTGTGGGTTAAACCACAGAGCATAGGACTTTCCAATCAGAAGGTCGGCAGTTCGAATCCCCATGATGGGGTGAGCTCCCGTTGCTCGGTCCCTGCTCCTGCCAATCTAGCAGTTCGAAAGCACATCAAAGTGCAAGTAGATAAATAGGTACTGCTCCGGCGGGAAGGTAAACGGAGTTTCTGTGCGCTGCTCTGGTTCGCCAGAAGCGGCTTAGTCATGCTGGCCACATGACCCGGAAGCTGTACGCCGGCTCCCTCAGCCAATAAAGCGAGATGAGCGCCGCAACCCCAGAGTCGGTCACGACTGGACCTAATGGTCAGGGGTCCCTTTACCTTTACTCCCCAGGGTGGCTCTCTAGGTACTGAGTGAAAACATTTCTCTTGACCAGGCCTTTGGCTAATTAACATGCTGTGGCCTTTTAAATGTGTTTGTAGGAGGGGGGTTATAGGTTTGTTTTGGTTTCATTCTGTATTTTGTGTTCTCATTTTGTATTTTTATGTTGTGAACATGATCTTTGGATGGGCGGTATAAGTAATCATGGCAACGACGATATTATAACCTTCTCCTGTTTAAGCAGGCACTGCCCTTACTGAACTGATTTGTTTGGTATTGCTGTTCTGTTATTTAAACTTAAACACGTTTTCAACTTGCTGCTCCCGCTGTCTCATCTTTTATCTACTCTGACTTTCTTATACTGAGTTTTTGCTCTTTTATTGTTTGTTTGTTTAGAAAGACTGATAGAGCACTTAACTGCAAAATTCTCTAAGCAGTTTACCATGTTACGGCTTATTATGTTATTTGTTAAGTGTACTGGTTACTTTTTAACTACATATTTTATTGCCAGCTGCCTTGGGCATTGTATAGGGAAAGGTTTATTTAGTAAACGAATAAAAGAAAAAATCCCCCCCTTCTTGCACTGCGTGGGCAGATTTCAGGAAGGGGAGGGAAAAGAAAAAGGACACTTTCCCCTTTGCAAACATCCAGCTGCCTCCCTTACAAATATATAGCAATGAAGTGTTCCAGTTTAGTGCTGAACCTGAGCACTTTAGCTCAGATATAATAATGCAACAGGAAGTTGTTTCTAGGCAGGAAAGACCAAACAGAAGTGTCCTTCCTGAAAAGCTGTTTGCCCTCCTCCCAAGGGGGCCAAACATAAGAAAATAAGAAATGTAATGACAAAGAGAAGAACATAAGATCAGGCAGGATCAGGCCAATGGCCCACCTGGTCCAGCATCCTGTTCTCACAGTGGCCAATCAGATGCCTCTGGGAAACCCACAACAGGTAAAGGTAAAAGGTAAAGGAGCCCTGGACAGTTAAGTCCCGTCAAAGGCGACTATGGGGTTGCTGCACTCATCTCGCTTTCAGGCCGAGGGAGCTGGCGTTTGTCCACAGACAGCTTTCCGGGTCATGTGGCCAGCAGGACTAAACTGCTTCTGGCACAACAGAACACCGTGACGGAAGCCAGAGCGCACGGAAACACCGTTTACCTTCCTGTCACTGTGGTACCTATTTAGCTACTTGCTAGGTTGGTAGGAGCTGGGACAGAGCAATGGGAGGTCGCTCCGTCGCGGGGATTTGAACCGCCAACCTTCCGATTGGCAAGCCCAAGAGGCTCAGTGGTTTAGACCACAGCGCCATCCACGCCCCTCCCACAACAGGGCCCTCCTGTCGCTTCTAGCAACTAGTATTCAGAAGCATGGCTGCCCCGAACTCTCAAGGCAGAGGATAGCCTTTGTTATGTAGTGTAGTTTCACCCTGGGCCAACAGGGGGATACTGTATATAGTTTTCACTCAGGTCTGTAGATAGTTTTCACTCAGGTCCGCGGCAGTTATTTTAGGCGGGAACTCTGGGCTGTTGTGGTTACAATGTTGACAGCCAGCTGCCTATAAATACAGGCCGGCTGAGCTGTTCGCAGTCAGTTGTATTCCAGCTTACCATAATAAAGAGCTACTTGAAGAAATCGCTGTGCCGGCTGCTATGTCAACCCACGACTTAACAGCCTTAATGACTACTAGCCATTGGTAGCTTATCCTCTGATAATTTGTCTCTTTTAAAGGCATCTAAGTTAGTGGCCAGCGCTGCCTCCTGTGGGAGAAAGTGCCATAGTTCAGCTATACGCTTCATGAAGTTATCCGTCCTGAATCTTCCAACGTTCAGTTTTGTTGGATGTTCACGAGAAAAGGGGACCCCCCAGTCTTTTCTCTATTCCGTTTTGCTGTGCAAGTCTCCAACTCTGCAACTGTTTCTCATAGGGGACTCATTCCATCCCCTTGTGCATCTCAGTTGCCTTTTTCTTAACTTTTCCCCAGCCTGAGAATATCATTTTTGAGGGGAGGCAACCAGGCTGGCTAGAGCCCAGAAGATAAACACTCCTGTTAGGGGTACCTGACAATATTTGATTGCAGGTGCCCACCGTTATTCTTATCTAATTTATTGATGTATCTCAGTAAAAATTCCCCCTTTGCTTAAGCATCATACACAGCCAGCGTATACCCCTTACAAAAAAACACAATTCATGGTGTGACCTTTTATTACTCCCCTCCCCTACGCATGTCCAGTATAGATGCCTCTGTTATTTGTTATATAAAGCCTCTCACTGTGGAAAAAGAATGCTGCAAATGTGCTGATCTTAGTTCCACTGGGAACATGAATAACTTGCATCTGGGCAAAAGGGAGGACTGGCGTAGGGGACGTGTACACACAGACCTCCTAACCTAAGGATAGAGAGGAAGAAAGAGACCTCTCTATGTGCCTGCTCTTTGCCTGCTGTGGGCTGGATAAACATGGAAAAAAGTCCCAATGATCTCAATGGGATTTTCATCCAACCAGATGTGTGTAGGATTGGACATTAAAGCATTTTTTTAAACCACTAACCAGAAGCTTCCAGCATTTAAATAATGTCCCATGCTCCCTAGCACCTGTAATCTAGTTTGTTAAAACATCTCCTCTAGATTCTAAGACCTTTTAGGAATTCCTCTAATGAATTTAAGAAGTGTTGGATCAGACGCCCCCTGCAAGGCTGGTGGGCTCCTGCTGATCAAGCCTTTTCCGTCATCGTCTTTTAAGCTTCCTGTCACTACAGGGCAGATCTAGGTATCTGAACCATTTATGTAGACTTTCTTTTTGAATAGGCCTTTAATGATTAGTGGTCTGTTGATCCGTTTTAATGCTGACTCTTGGTCTTGGTTTTGCCTTTCTGTGCAGAATTTGTGCTGTTAAATTATCTCCAGTGGGAGATCAAACCTTGCTTTGGAAATCTAACAGGACTGAAGAATGGGCTGCGAACAACCATTTCATGAAATGGCATGTTGATTTCTGCACAAACTAAGGGACAGAACCGTGAAGAATCACTGCGCTTTGCCATTAAAGGCCTGCAAAAGAAGGACACGGGACAGAATACTTATGTACGAGGTTAAGTTATTATAAGAATCTTGGAAAAAGTTGTAAAATAAAACAAAAACTCTGCTAAAATTTTATGCAGTATGGGAATCAGAGAGCAAATTATCAGAATGCTGAAAGAGAAGCCAATTCTTTTTTGGTGGGAAGAAGAGAGGGAAACATGGGACTCATTAGTTAATTACTACCCTGTGTGTTTAAATTTATATATATGTGTGTGTGTGTGTGTGTGTGTGTGTAAATCAGGTTCTTCCTACCTGATGCCCTCTAGATCTTTTTGGACTACGATTCCCATCATCCTTGATGCTGACTGGAGATGATGAGAGTTGGAGTCCAACTATACTAGTGGCCAAAATTGTGGAAACCTTTTGGAAACAGTGTACTTCCGAGGTTTGATGGCTCATAACACCACTTTTTTGGAGTAATGCCATAAAATTATATTATCAACGGAAAGATAATTTAATGAAGAATGTAATTCACCTGATAGGTTCTCTAAACACTCATGCTCATTGGTCACATTCAAACGAATGAAATCTACTGCATAGCAACCTAAGCAAGTATTGCTTCCTTTTTCTGGTTATTTAGTTACAACTTTTGATAGAATACAGACAACTGAACAAACCTTGTTGCATTACATTCTTCATTACATTATCTTTCCACTGATATATAATTTTATGGCATTACTCCAGAATAAGTGGAGTTATGAGCCACCAAACCTTGGAAATACACTTTCCCCAAAAGGTTTCCACAATTTTGGCCACTAGTGTACATCTGAGGGGGCAAAAGGGCACAGACAACCGTGAGTGAGGCAGACCAATGAACTGATTCACCAGGGCTGCTTCCTACCACACTACACTAACCTGGCTGGCAGGAGTCTAGCTCAGTGGTAGGAGAACCCCAGCCATGATGTCTCACAATCCCCCAATACTTACTTGACCCCAAATTTCAGGGCCTGCAGGGCCAAGCTCTCGCAGAAACCTTCCACGGCAAATTTGGAGGCAGAGTAGATGTCGTTGAAGAGGAGACCTAAAGGGAACGGAGTGTTGGCGTGAGAGGTGTAAAATAACCGTGGAGAAAGATGGTTCTTCTGCATGTCCTCTTGCTCCAGAGTTAGGATGGGGGAACTGTGGGCCTTCCAGGTGTTGCTGAGCAGCAGCTCCCATCATCGCTGACCATTGGGCTATGCTGCCTGGGGCTGATGCAACTTCTGGACGGTCGCAGGTTCCCCATCCCTGTTCTGGGCATGGGGGAATGGTTGTAAGAAACACCACAACAAACACAAACCATTTGCCAGTCGGGAGCAGAGCTGCCAACATTTTTACTGCCCCAGCTCCTGTGCTTTTAACAATAGGGACAACACACAGAAGTAAAGCAGGGAAAGTTCTTTCCTGCATGGAAATAGTGATGGGAATCCAACATTTACCTGTATTTTTTATTTATTTATTTATTCCAGGTTGCTTTTAAAAGCACGGGATCAGGGTTGGTGAAATAGGTGACAACCCTAGTCAGAAATCATGGGCATAGCCAGAGAGGCAGCTGTCCCCCCATCAAGTAAATAAATAAAAATACTTAACTAACTGACCAATTGTGTCACTGATAACTCAGTTCTGCCCCCACCCAATAAATCTTGGCTATGCCCATGGTCAGAATGTGGGAGTTTGCCCATCACACCCATTCCACACCCAGGGGAGGGAGGAAATAATCTTGCTAGCATAAAAGTCCCACCTCATTCATTAGGCCGATTAAGTAAAACAGCAGGAATAGGCAATTTATTTTATGAGCAGCAATTAAAAAGAAATTAGCTTGTTCAGGCAATAGTAAACAACAGCAAAGCAGACATCGCTTTTGCAAGGTATTCCACGATACCATCTGAGAGAACAACACGGAAAAGAAGGGTGGCTTTTTAAAGGGTTCAAAAAAAGGTTTTTGGAAAAGAGCTAAAGGCTCCTATGCATGTATTAGAAATCTTTTTTATGTGATTTTACAATAAGATGTCTCCTATTCAGGAGTAGACATCAGCGGAAGGGGCTTCAGTGCGTGACAGAACTGTTGGATAAATCTATGAAGGATGTGTTAAATTTCTTTCTTGGTACTTCCTTGGGTTCAGAAAAGACCTGCCACCTCACCATGTATGCAATCTTAGGCCCGCTACCCCTTCGTTGTGGTCCCTTTTTCCTGCTGTGGACAAATTTTATTTGCAGAATTTGCCTTTACCTCTTTGCCCTCTAGCAGGCCCATCCAACTCCCAAGAGACTGCGATCTACTCCCAGTATTAATAAACTGGCAGTGATCTACCCATTGTTGTTGACCCTTTGGGGGGGGGGAATTGAGCAGAGTTGTTGAGCTTTTTTTTAAGGGGGAATAACATAGATCGCTCAGCTAACCGGGGCTTTTAACTTGGGAGGGATTTTGAAACACGCTTTGAAATATCCTTTGGATTTTAGTGCTGATTATGGAGAATGGGCTGACCTGTTGAGAAGGGATAAAGACATTGTTAGGTTGGAGTCTCCCCGAGATCTACTCCTCAGTGACAAAGGAAGGAAATTAAGAACAAGATCAGCAGAAGACAAAGTAAAGTGCAGGTATAAATATGAAGAAGATCCGCAGAAGGGACATGGAAAAGAGTTAAGAGCCTCGGACAGAAGATCACCAGGTTGATGGACTAGATGGAATGGATAGAAAGGACTGACAGAACCCGAGACCAGGGAGAAGAGACGGTGGATGAAGATTGGAAGAAAGTTTAAAAAATTTATTTAGAGAAATATTGTAAAATTAATGAGTGTTAGAAAAATGTTGGAATGAAACTATTTGGCTTTAGTAGAAATGCTATAAGGAGTTATGTATAAATAAGTTTTAAGTTTTAGGGCTTTTTATGGTAAGATAAGGTTAAAATAAATTAAGACAATTAAATGACAGAATATAGTGAAAGATGGAAAGGATTTGCTGAAATAATTAATAACTAGAATACAAAAAAGGGAGGTGTGAGGAGGTCGATGAAACAAGTTAATGAAAGATAAAGATGTGGGAATATTGGATTTGTTTTTAATTTTTTTGCTTTTGTTTTTGATGTATTATGTGTTTTGTTCTCTTTTTTCTTTTTTATGGACTTGTATTGTTTAATTTCTTTTTTCTTTTTTCCTTTCTCACTTTTTTCTGTAATTTTAAATTTTCAATAAATATCATTTTAAAAAAACAAAGAAACTCTGTCGCTAACCAACACACCTTGTGCTAGAACCAGTTGTCGTATTCCCGATCGCCAACAGAAAACCCACAAACACTGCCCACTGGACACGACGGAGGAACAGAGAGAGGGGGCGGGGGTGGAGACATTCATTCCCCAGTTCTTTTAAGGCCGTGATCCATAAGGATCCCACGATCGACCATGATCACCCCGGGATCTACCTGTCGATCGCAGTCGACTGGTTGGACATGTCTGCCCTATAGCAACGAAGGACCATAGCTCAGTGGGCAGAGAATATGCTTTGCATGCAGACGACGCCAGATTCAACCCCCAGAATCCGCAGGGAGGACTGAGAAAGGTTTCTGTTCTCATTCTGAAGCAAAGTTCTTAACCTGAAGCACTATTTCTGGGTTAGCGGAGCCTGTAACCTGAAGCGTATGTAACCTGAAGCGTATGTAACCCGAGGTACCACTGTACAGGACAACCAGCTCACCTAAAGATTACAGTGGTACCTCGGGTTACATACACTTCAGGTTACAGACTCCGCTAACCCAGAAATAGTACCTCAGGTTAAGAACTTTGCTTCAGGATGAGAACAGAAATCGTGCTCCGGCGGTGCAGTGGCAGTGGGAGGCCCCATTAGCTAAAGTGGTGCTTCAGGTTAAGAACAGTTTTAGGTTAAGAATGGACCTCCAGAACGAATTAAGTACGTAACCAGAGGTACCACTGTACTGTTAGGCAGATGTTTGCATTCTCCTAAAGTGAAAGAGAGAGAACAGAAGGGTGGCAGGCTGGGCATTATGCGGAATACCATTCAAAAACTGTAGGAGGTTATTTAAAAATGGCTTGAGGTAGGGAGTGAATGAATTTATTATGGTCACAGACCAGAAATATGGACATATACAGCAATAGAGAACATGTATACATACATGTATTCTTATTATTATTATTATTATTACACCCCACCCATCTGGCTGGGTTTCCCCAGCCACTCTGGGTGGCTCACAGCATATATCAGAACATACTAAAACATCAAACATTAAAGCTTCCCTAAACAGGGCTGCCTTCAGATGTCTTCTAAAGGTCAGATAGTTGTTTATTCCTTGACATCTGATGGGAGGGCGTTCCACAGGATGGGTGCCACTACCGAGAAGGCCCTCTGCCTGGTTCCCTGTAACCTCGCTTCTCACAGTGAGGAAACCAGCAGAAGACCCTCAGGGAAGGACCTCAGGTGTCCAGGCTGAACGGGCACTATAAGCTAGTGCACGGTAAATAATACAGATATAAAACAATTAAAATATGTAGGTTAAGACCTTAGCTGCTAATTTAAAATATGCATATTAAGACATTGGCCATTAGATTCATTCAGAGCTCATCACCTTAGTTTTATAGCAGCAGCACTGAATGTGGCCATCTCTGGTTCCATGACCTCTATTAGATATTTTAATTAGTGGTCACCTGATCTGCTTGGGGTTCATTGCATAATTGGAGTGATAAATATCGAAGTAGGGAGAGAAAGGCCAAGGAGCAGTTGACAGACCATGTGCTTTGTCCGCAGAAGGTTCCAGGTATATTCATCCTGGCAACACCATAAAAAAATCAAGGGGACTGGGAAAGACCCAAGAGCCACTCTCAGTCAGAGCAGACAAGTGTCTTATGTTCCAAAAGAGAGAAATGAACTCTTATTTAGAAGGCTTTGGAAATAGAAGGAATCTACTGCTGCCCGGTGTCTTCCTTCCTCCAGAGCTCACCTCACCATCATCCTGTTGGTCAAACAACATTTGCTACCCAAATGCTCCTCATTAGAGTCACCCCCCCAGCCCACCTTCTGGCTGAGCCTCACCTTGCAAGCCCAGGACACTGCTCATCACGACGACATGTCCCTGTCTTCGGCGCTTCATGCCAGGGAAGACTTCTTGGATAAGGCGCACCAAGCCAAAGAAATTGGTATCAAAGAGCTGCTGCATTGAGGCTATGCTCTGGCTTTCGACCGGTCCAATCATGCCTAAACCAGCATTGTTAACTGCAAGGGGAAGCAGTCAGTTAGCAATAGAGAACAGGACAAAGTGGTGCTTTTCAGAGATAATAATAATAATAATTTATTATTTATACCCTGCCCATCTGGCTGTGTTTCCCCAGCCACTCTGGGCGGCTCCCAACAGAATATTAAAAACACGATAAACCATCAAAAATTAAAAACTTCCCTAAACAGACCTGCCTTCAGATGTCTTCTAAAAGTCAGATTGTTGTTTATTTCCTTGACATCTGATAGGAGGGCGTTCCACAGGGTGGGTGCTACCACCAGGAAGGCCCTCTGCCTCGTTCCCTGTAACCTCACTTCTCACAGTGAGGAAACCGCCAGAAGGCTGGACTTCAGTGTCTGGGCTGAACGATGGAGGTGGAGACGCTCCTTCAGGTATACAGTGGTACCTCGGGTTAAGTACTTAATTCGTTCCGGAGGGCTGTTCTTAACCTGAAACTGTTCTTACTTAACCTGAAGACCACTTTAGCTAATGGGGCCTCCCACTGCCACTGCGCCGCTGGAGCCCGATTTCTGTTCTCATTCTGAAGCAAAGTTCTTAACCCGAGGTAATATTTCTGGGTTATCGGAGTCTGTAACCTGAAGCGTATGTAACCCGAGGTACCACTGTATTGGGCAGAGGATATCCTTGCTGGAGGTGTCTTCCATCAGTGGAGATAATGAAAGGATGGCATTCATTCTGCCACTTACCTTCCACCAGCCTCTAGATACTGTGCAGCTGGATACCTGGTTTAGCAACCAGTTGCTCCTTGAAGAGCTAATGTCCCACAGTTTGAGCTACAAGGCTCCTGCTGAAACGTATCACTTCCAGCTGAGAATTCCTGTGACCGTCTGGGCCTGTCGCAATGTTGCACTCACTGGGTTTATGCTCACGGGCTTCCCTGATTCACCGTGAACACAGATTACATCTTGCCCCATCCACATTCAACCTGCTTGCGAAGGCTTTCACAATGGGGTGGAGCCCCACAACCTGTATGTTTAATGAAGCACTCATGCAAGTGTTTTTTTGCGTGAGGAAAAAAGGCACCCTGGCTTGCTTCAGCTCCAGACTGTGCCTGCCAAATGAGCTGTGAGAATTGGCATAAGCTCTACTCCATACAGTGGTTTAATGAAGTGGCTTAATCCACAGTGGACAATATGAGATACTTGTGGGGTCCAAGTCCAATCCAGAGCGAGGATGACAATTTAGCCACGGCCGGCTGGGCCCAGCATTACACAGGCCCATCTGTGCCAAAACAAAATCACGATTTTATAGCCTAGCAGGTCTTATTAGAAAACAGACAATGTCCACTTCGAAGCAGGAGGCAGCTACCTGTGGTCTAGTACACAGGTATTTATTACAGCACACTGACCAATAAGAGAAAACGCAAAGTGTAAAATACAAAACCAAGGCCTCAAGAAAACCAAATTATAAAGAATGACAAGGTAAGGTCAAACGGTCATAGCAGATCCAAGAGACAACGACATTCATCACCTCAGAAATAAATTTACTGAGAAGATACTTAAAATAATTTCTAGATACCAACCAGGAATCAGTCTCATTAAAAAAAATGCATAATGATTCTCTGATAACATGATTTAGAAAAAGAACACACAGATCTTTCCCACCTCATAGGATTTATATCTAGCTATAAAACAAACTTTTAAGAGATTCGCCATCTATTCTCTTTGAAAGCCAAATGTTCAAATGGCCCAATAAAACAGCTCTACTGTATTTAGGTCTTGATGAAGCATTCACATAAAGGCGTATAATTGTTAAAAGCAGACCAAGTCATGCTTAAACAGCATGGCTTACGTGGTCCGCTAGCTAATGCATGTAGCTGCCACACTCTCATATCCTTTATTCTCTGTTTACCCAAAGATTTGGCTTGCTCTACTTCCAGTGTCAGCAGATAAGAGGAGAAAAGCCAACAATGTAATTTCTCCCCATTAAGCTCACTTTTCTACAAAGGCCAAGAGGGTTAACCAGAACCTGATGTGCCAAAGACCTGAAGGAGGCAAAGGAACAAATTTGGAGCTAATAAATAACAAAACTTGTCCATGCCGCGCTACTTAATGAGGTAAGGCCAGCTTCTAAATTAAGAATATCAATATCAACACATTTAGGTAGGTAAAAGGTAAAGGTAAAGGACCTCTGGCCGTTTAGGTCCAGTCAAAGGCGATTATGGGGTTGCAATGCTCATCTCACTTTTAGGCCGAGGTAGCCAGCATTTGATCACAGACAGCTTTCCGGGTCAATTGGCCAGCATGACTAAACTGTTTCTGGCGCAACAGAACACCACAATGGAAACCAGAGTGCACGGAAATGCCTTTTATGTTCCCGCTGCAGTGGTACCTATTTATCTACTTGCACTGGCATGCTTTCGAACCGCTAGGTTAGCAGGAGCTGGCACAGAGCAACGGGAGCTCACCCCGTCGCGGGGATTCTAACCACCGACCTTCCAATCGGCAAGCCCAAGAGGCTCAGTGGTTTAGACCACAGCACCACCCACAATTAGGTGCGCCTCTAAGGGTTGAATTCCTTCTTTAAAAAGTCCTCAAAATCAATACTGAGGCTGCAGGGGAACAGTTTTCCTACCAAGCACATCCACCCTGCGCTGGGGGATGGTGTCCACACAGCGTCGGATCGATTCCTCGCTGGTCACATCCATCTCCTTGATCTCCAGAGTCTTCTCCAGCACAGGCCCTGCATGCTTCACCAGTTCTTGATTCTTCTCTAAATTCCTCATGGTGGCAATAACTAGGGAGAGAAGGGAAAGAGTTACATGACACCACTGGGATATTGAGGGTGAGGGGTGAGTTCTTTCAGAAATACTCAAGGCTGTGGGGTTTGGCAGGGGGCATGCACCAACTAGAGCTAGTACTCCAAGATACTCCTCTGTTAGGGAAGGCATCTAACAATGCTCAAAGGTGTTCAGAATACCAAACAATAACTGTAGCATCCAAGGCCATGTTCCACTTCAGGCTGCAGGTGCAAAACTGAATGCCTAATGTCTCCACAAACGTGGAAGGGGCAGAAGCCAGAGACCTGCACACGTGAGTTTTCCTCACTGCATATAGGAAAACTACAGCATTTTTCGCTCTATAGGACTCACTCCCCCCCCTCCAAAAATGAAGGGTAAATGTTTGTGCATCCTATGGAGCGAATGCAGGCTTCTTGGCTTCAGCGAAAGCAACATGAAGCCTCCAAAGCGCAGAGGGAGCGCTCCCTCCACGTTCCGGAGGCTACGCGTTGCTTTCACTGAAGCCTGAAGAGCAAGAGGGGTTGGTGTGCAAGACTCTCCTGGCTTCAGCGAAAGGAACCGGAAGCCTTTGGAGCACACGCGAGGTCCTGCTGCACTCCAAAGGCTTCAGGTAGCTATCCCTGAAGCCTTTGGAGCGCAGCGGGACCTCGCGCTGCGCTCCAAAGGCTTCGGGGTTAGCTGCGCAAAGCCTCCGCAGGGCAGCGGGGTGAAGGCACCCCACTGCCCTGCAGAGGCTTGAAAGGCTGTCCCCGAAGCCAGAACAGAGACACGGAGCGCTGCGCAGCATCTCGCTGTTCTAGCTTGGGGATGCCGGGGCTTTATGGGGAAACCTCGGGCTTCCCCCTTCAGCCCCGACACTGATTTGATTCAGAATATTTTTTACTTGTTTTCCTCCTCTAAAAACTAGTTGCGTCCTTTGCTCGGGTGCGTCCTATAGAGCGAAAAATACGGTAACTTGTCAGGAAGAAAACAAGCCTAGGACTTGACAGGGAAATGGCTTTTTAACCCACCCGCTTTATATACTCTTACACCAGTGCCAAAGTTTTGCTTGTTTAAACCTGCAGTTGCCTCTGAGACATCCACACCTCAGTGTAGAACCTGAAAAGCACCTCTGGGTACAAAGCCTGGCAGGGACTGAATGCAGCAGTAGACTCAGGAATGAAGAATGGGATCCATTGCTCTGATTCTTCCAAGGAGCTGCACTGTTCCCTCCCCGCTCCCTACCAACTGGTCCCTGGATCCAGGCAGCTCCTCACCTCGGAATCGCTTCAGCTCGTCTCTGGCCAGACGTACTGCCAGGGCGAGGCCAATGCCGGAAGAGCAGCCTGTCACGAGTACATTTCGAACGGCCATCTTACTGCCTGCGGAAGGGAGAGGAGAAAATCAGAGGAAATCCTGAGGAAGTGCGGGGAGAACCATGGTATACGGTTCAAAGGATGCTAGGATTGGATCTCTTCACTCTGACCATTTCTGGAAGCTCAGTGGTGGTCAAGCTGTCGCAACTCAAATGCCGCCTCTGCCAGGAATGTTTTCAGTGCTCTGAACACTTAAAAAACAAGTCCGTGCTAAGCATTATTGTGGGCTGGGCTGGAAGCAATACAGGTCTGATGACGTGCCAGCCACAGTCTTACCTACACCACCAAATATTGGACCACGGGATAGAGAGGAAATCACAACACTTGTGACTAGGTGAAAAGACGACAGAGTAACTTTTATGTTTCTGGTGTCAAGGACTGGCTCAAGGTGATTCCCCCTAAAACAGGGGAAGCCAACACGGTGCCCTTCAGCTGTTGCTGGATTATATACTATCCAGGATTTGACAGGGAGATATTTGAGTAAGTGAGGCAGCGTTTTCTCCCCCCTAACCCCCCTAAACTTGTTTTCAAGACACCTTGCAAAGCCACAGAACCCTGTGTAATAATAATAATAATAATAATAATAATAATTTATTATTTATCCCCCGCCCATCTGGCTGGGCCTCCCCAGCCACTCTGGGCGGCTTCCATAAAAACCACAAATATAGTAAAATATCACACGTTAAAAACTTCCCTGAACAGGGCTGCCTTAAGATGTCTTCTGATATTACAATGAAAATTGGTACATCCATTTAGGGCACAATACAGTCATTCCTCATGTTACGTCCGCTTCATGTTACATTCTTTCAGGTTACGTCCCGCGGCGACCCGGAAGTACCGGAAAGGGTTACTTCCGGGTTTCGCCGCTCGCACATGCACAGAAGCGCAAAATGACATCACGCGCATGCGCAGAAGCAACAAATTGCAACCCGCATGTGTGTAGACGCGCCACTGCAGGTTGCATTCCTTTCATGTTGTGAACGGGCCTCTAGAACAGATCCCATTGGCAACCAGAGGTACCACTGTAATCCTTTAAGGCTTCAAACACTAACTCCCTCCCCACACCCATTTTATGTAGCAGAAAGGCGTGCAAAATATATTGCAGTTCGGTATCTGAATTACTTATTATTTATTAAATTTATACACAGCCCTTCACCTCAAGATCACGAGGCGGTTTACAATATTAAGAACACAAAAACGCTTAGCGTCACAACAAACGGAAACAATAACCCCTGCCCCCCCCAATTTAAAAGGCCATAGATTGTTTAATTTGCTAAAGGCCTGGGAAAAGAGCATTGCTTTTGCTGGCACATAAAGATATGTGATGAAGGCGCCAGGTGAGTCTTCCAGGGGAGAGTGTTCCACAAGCAGGAATCCACCACAGAAAAAGAGGCCCCGCAAACAAGGTGCTTTAAATATGTACGCTGCACGTTTTCCTGAAAGGAAGCCCCACTGAACAAAGTGTGACATCCAAGTTATCCTAAATAATGCTGGAGCTGTTTACCGCAAACAGTTCTGAGTCTACTGTCACTAAGTACCACTTTCTGCGCCAAACTGGGAATGGGTGGCCAGTAGTCATAACCCTTGCTCTGTCTGATTTGCCAACAGAGCAGCCTGGGCAGAACCAGGGAGAGAGACTGGTAACTTTTGACACCCCCAGAGACTCACTTTCCACCACTGGTGGACTGAGGGTGTAGAAGCCAGAGCACATCAGCTTTCTTCCTGTTTTACCCTTTTAACATAACCAATAGATTCCTCCTCTGCTTGTGAGCCTCTTCTCTCCTTCTTCAAAGTGGAAATCAGATTATTACTCTAACATTACTTCAGAGAGCTCTATAATCCATTTACAAACGGTGTGCATTGCTCTTAGTAAAACGACCCTGCCTGTATTCCGTACAGCATAAAAGACAAGTGCGGAACCAGACCAAACACAGCTTTGGGTCGTCCCTGGAGCCTGCATCTCACCCAGTCTGGCTGCTCCTTCGTCACCCTTACCCAGTCCATTTTTCCACCACTCTCTCTATCCTCGTAGAGCACATTTTCAGCTGGGATTATTAATGCTGTATTTAAACAGTACCCCTTAAATAAGAAAACAGGGGGCTAGTATATACATTATATGCTGAGTCAGAGTTCCAAGGCCTAAAATGCTGCTGTGACTTGTTCAAGCTCCCACATGGAGTTTCAGACTAACCTGAGATGGGTCTGAGCTAGTTTTCCATTGCAGATCGGGTCAGTGGTCATCGGAAATACCTCCAGTGCGCTTTAGCTGCCTGTACCCGTGACATGCAGCATATGGTGTGCTGTTACCACTCAAGACATATTCCCCTGCTTCATCCTTCAGCATTACAGAAGAGGGTTTGGAAATAAAGCTGCCACAACAAGGACCAGGACCGGTCTCTTTGCACAGAGCCTGGTTCAACAGGTGAGGCTCGCTGGGTGGGAGGAGCCTGTGTGGTCTTCTCCAATCTAGCTGGGTACCACAGGGTCTTTTCCACAGGACCTACTGATGTGATTGTCTTCCAGATACCTGCTGGACTACAATTCACATTACACCTAACCACTGGTCAAGCTTTATGAGGAACAGTTGAGGGAGCTGGGTATTGTTTAGCCTTGGAGAAGACTGAGAGCTGTATGATAGCCATCTTCAAATATCTGAAGGGCTGTCACATAGAAGGTGGAACAAGCTTAGTTTTCTGCTGCTCCATAGACCCAAACCAATGGATTCAAATTGCAAGAATCATATAGAATAAGAGGGTAAGAGCTGTTTGACAGTGGAATAATCTCCCTGGGAAAGGCGGTGCACTCTCCTTCGTTGAGAGGTTTTTAAAGAGAAGGAGAGAGTTTGGCTCTGATATCCCGCTTTATCACTACCCTAAGGAGTCTCAAGCAGCTAACAATCTCCTTTTCCCTTCCTCCCCCACCAAAAAAACACTCTGTGAGGTGAGTGAGGCTGAGAGACTTCAGAGAAGTGTGACTAGCCCAAGGTCACCCAGCAGCTGCATGTGGAGGAGCGGGGAAGCGAACCCGGTTCACCAGATTACGAGTCTACCACTCTTAACCACTACACCACACTGACTCTTTAAACAGAGATTGCACGGCCACCTGCCAGGGATTCTTTAGCAGTGATTCCTGCACTGCAGGGGATTGGACTAGATGACCCATGGGGTCCTTTCCAACCCTGCAGTTCTATTCTTTGAATCTATGAGATCTGGGCAAAAACAAGATGCTAAGGCACGAGTGTTCAGGGGAGAAACAGTACCCAGCAAACAGAAGCGTATGATGAGGGGTGGTCCAAGACTACATTTGGGTTACAAAACCCTCCCCCCCCTTCCCAGGTGCATATCTGTTGGTGTATGTATTGCAAAGAAAAGAAAATGGGCCTTGGCCTGGAGAAAATGTGGAGGCATCTCGATGTCCCTTGAGACAGCCCAAATTATATTCAGGATTGCTAACTCACAATTCCTTAATTACACGGACATCAACTGCTGTGGATATGCCACCTGTGGCGATTCAAAGCTTGGATGTAGGAGTACACAACCTAAGATTCACATTCTTTATAATTTGAATGAATATAGGCCTTATTTACAGCCCATTGACCGTCAGTAGAAAGCTACAGAACACGAAATACATAAGATTGTTAAAAGGAGGGAGAGACCCGGGTAAGCAATTGGGGCTTGTCTGAAAGAAATTGAAACATTTAGAAATTTTGCAACTTGCTTAGCAATTTAAAGCAAAACATGAGTTCTCCAATAAAATGGTCAACAGAGACTCGGAAGACTGTCCTTGCAAAACATGCCCACAAAAAGTGGCCTGGACTGTGGCACTTTGTAGGCTCCTGGTGGTACAGATATATCAATGCTTATTTTGGACACACACCCACACTTTATTAATACTGGTAATTACTGGCATGGGTAGCATGTTGAAGAGTGACTTGTCCCCCCAAAGAAACGCTAGCTAGAGCACTGTAGGGGATGGTCTCCCAGTGTTGATGTGGGTGCATCATGCGGGGTGCCCTGTTTACTTGGGAGTAAAAAAAATATCCAGACCCTTATTCCAAAGTGCAGCATGGAGGTGCACTGTTCAAAGTGTGTGCCACGAGTTAGGGATCATGCAATGAGGAGTCTCCCAGCCACAGGAAGCATGGTGTGATGTAGCCCAAAACTTATTTTGGGGTGCAACAGCACAAAAGCTTAAGATCCCCTCTCAAGCAGCTCGTGCATCCTTGTGCAGAAGTGACCCCAGCAGTCTATGAAAGTTCACGCCGGAATAAACGGAAAGGTGCCGCATTGCCCTTTGTTCTATTCGTTGCTACCCGTCTGTGGAAACTGTGTAGGCAGATAAGCAAGTGGAAATCGGAAACCGGCCTCGGCCTGCCTCGTTCTCCAGGGGCTCTTGTGCAGCTACAGGTTCTCTATTCCAGGCCCGGGCAAGGAGAGTGATGGGGAAAGCTCCTTGCAAACAGCGGCTCAGAAGACACCGGAGGAGCCCCGCCACCTGGCAACCCAGCGCCGCGCCAGCCAGCCGGCGAGCAGCAGGCGGCGGCAGGGCGATTACTGGCCACGTCATGGGGGATTACAGGGTGTCCTCACCGAGCGGAAAAGGCCGAGGAAAAAAAGGTGGTGGTGGGGGGGGACCTTCCAGCCTAGCGGTCACCCCGGATAAATCCACGCTGGGGCGCGGACGCAACAGCCGCAAGCTCTTTATCTGCTACCTCTCCAAGGCGCGCACGCAGCCCGGGGCTATGCAAGCCACAGCCGGCTGCAGCCCGGTCGTGCCTTGGAGAAGGCGGGGGGCACCTCCTGGCTGGGAAGATTTCCTGCGCCATGCTGCTGCCCACCCCGCCGCCGGGCACCTACCTACCTCTCGCGCCCCTCTTTACGCACGATCCCTCGTCGAGAAAGGTGGGGAGACAGACACAACAACAAAAAAATATGACCCCAGCGCCCACCTCTCCAAAAGCGCAGAAGCGGGCGTTCGCCCGCGCACCAGCCAAGCCTCTCGCCTCCGGAGTCAGCCGCCCCTCGCGCACTTCCCCAAATTCAGCCTCAAGCCCGGCGATCGAAGGACAAGCGAGCCCGCCCCGAGCCGGAGGACGCCGGGCGTTGTAGTCCCGTCCTCCCCGGCGAGGTCCGGCTCCTCCTTCTCCTCCTCCCCTGTCGCCGCCCCGCCTTCCCCGGGCGAGGAAAGGGAGGCTGCGCCGCGCTCGGAGCGCAGCCTGTTGGTAACTTAGGAAGGCGATTAGAGAGCGAAATCGCGGAGGAGGAGCGGACGAGCCCGAGAGCTCCGCGGGTGCTCCGCGCCTAGAGACAGCTGCGCGCCAGAGTGGGGCGCTATAGGCTTCATGCCTTGCTTGGGCGGGTTCCCGGATTATTTGGTTGGCACTGGGGAAACAGGATCCTGCGCTAGCTTGTTGTTGTTATATTTAACAACAACAACAGTTTCATTAATTAAATGTATATTCTCTCCCTGCTTATTTAACTTATATGCAGAATTCATCATACGAAAGGCTGGGCTGGATGAATCCCAAACCGGAATTAAGATTGCTGGAAGAAATATCAAGAACCTCAGATATGCAGATGACACCACCTTGATGGCAGAAAGTGAGGAGGAATTAAAGAACCTTTTAATGAGGGTGAAAGAGGAGAGCGCAAAATATGGTCTGAAGCTCAACATCAAAAAAACGAAGATCATGGCCACTGGGCCCATCACCTCCTGGCAAGTAGAAGGGGAAGAAATGGAGGCAGTGATAGATTTTACTTTCTTGGGCTCCATGATCACTGCAGATGGTGACAGCAGTCACAAAATTAAAAGACGCCTGCTTCTTGGGAGAAAAGCAATGACAAACCTAGACAGCATCTTAAAAAGCAGAGAAGCTATGGTTTTCCCAGTAGTGATGTATGGAAGTGAGAGCTGGACCATAAAGAAGGCTGATCACCAAAGAATTGATGCTTTTGAATTATGGTGCTGGAGGAGACTCTTGAGAGTCCCATGGACTGCAAGAAGATCAAACCTATCCTTTCTGAAGGAAATCAGCCCTGAGTGCTCACTGGAAGGACAGATCCGGAAGCTGAGGCTCCAATACCTTGGCCACCTCATGAGAAGAGAAGACTCCCTGGAAAAGATCCTGATGTTGGGAAAGTTTGAGGGCACAAGGAGAAGAGGACGACAGAGGACGAGAAGGTTGGACAGTGTTCTCAAAGCTACCAGCATGAGTTTTGGGGGTTTTTTTGTGTTTTTTTTGACCATGAGTTTGACCAAACTGCGGGAGGCAGTGGAAGACAGGAGTGCCTGGCGTGCTCTGGTCCAGGGGGTCACAAAGAGTCAGACATGACTAAACGACTAAACAACAACAACAACAACAACACTGCTCTTCATCCGAGGATCACAGGGTGCCTAACAGTATAAAAACACAACAATACATAGCAGAATTGCAGACAAAACAATGCCCCCCCCCCATTTTAAATGCCATAGATGTTTAATCAGAATGTTTTCGCCCAGTGCCTAAGGGTGTATAATGAAGGTGTCAGTCAAACGTCCCTGGGGAGGGCATTCCACAAATGGAGCCACTGCAACAAAGGCCCCTTCTTGTGTTGCTGACCTCGGGACCTATGGTGGAGGAGACACAAGGAAAAGGACCTTATCAGTTCATATGATATATTTTTTTTACTTCTAAATCTGGAGTAGTTATTTTGGTGATACATTTTTGTATGACTTTTCTTAAGTAGAGACAACTAGGAATGTGGCCTAGGGAGAGCTTGTGAGAGCCAGCTAGAAAGACCCACCCCTGCCTTAGAACCATTGTAAAATTATCACTCATTTTTCCTCTGGCAGAGCTCTTGTGCCTTTAAAAGGTGCGTCACAGGCAGGAACTGAACAGGTGCCGCTTTCCAGGGATAACAAAATTGTTATTGCTATTATTATCTTTCCTCCCAAAATAGCCCAGTGCAACAGACGCACAAGCAAAAATAATAATTTCAATGCAGATGCAGACTGGGAAAGTGTTCTACTTAAAATATCTGTTATAATATGTCTTTCTTGCTTTTGAGTCCTAATACTACATCCACAACATCACTGAGTGTCGGTGGAGGTTCGTGCTGTGATAAGACTGCATTTAGGATTCATCTGAGGGATCCAGAAACAGAAGATCAGGAGAAGGAAATGTGTCTTGTGAGCATGATATTCCACTGCTGCTAGTTGCAGATAGGTTCTAGTTCTGCAAAATAGGGGAATGCCTTTATTTAATTTATACACTGCCTTTTCTCCAATGAGCTAAGGGCAGTTTACATGGCCCCCCCAATAATAATAATTTATTTTTATTTTTTTAAAAATAATTTTTACTGCTTTTCACAAACACAAAAGAATTAAACAATAATGACCAAGGAAAAAAGAACATAGAAAACAAAATAATAAATGAAATGATCTTTTAAAGTCTACATTTTACATTATCTTATTTACAAAGCGCATATTAACGCCCTGACTTCCCTCCTCCCCCCATCAGTTTTCTTAATTCGAATCTTCTCCTGCAGATTGTTATACCCCTTCTATATACATCATATGGTTTAGATCAAACCCACTACAGTTTTTAAACTTCTACAATTTATCTTAATATACGCAACAAATTTACCCCATTCATCCTCAAACTTTGATCCCTTTTGATTTCATATTTTGTGAGTCATTTTGGCCAGTTCTATGTATTCAAAGAGTTTACTATACCAATCAGTTAATAATAATAATAATTTATTATTTGTACCCTGCCCATCTGGCTGGGTCTCCCCAGCCACTCTGGGCAGCTTCCAACAAAAGATTAAAAATACATTAAAATGTCATTCTCACAACCGTTTTCTATGAAAGATGAGGCTGAGAAACTGTGAATGGCCCAAGATTTCCCAGCAAGCGTCACAGCCAAACAATCAGCCGGAAGCTGGAGCCAGGAGGCCAGTAATAAAACTGCCACACACAAGATGGAGCAAGCTTGTTTCCTCCTGCTCTGGAGGGTAGGATCCGAACCAATGAATTCAAGTTACAAGAAAGGAGATTCCGACTAAACATACGAGGGGGAAACGTTCTGACAGTAAGGGCTGATCAACAGTGAAACCGTCTCCCTTGGCAGGTTGTGGATTTTCCTTCCTTGGAGGTTTTCAGGCAGAGGCTGGATGGTCATCTGTCATGGATGCTTTCGCTGAGATTCCTGCATTGCAGGGGGTTGGACTAGAGGACCTTTGGGGTCCCTTCCAACTCTATGATTCTATGACAACTCCCAGTGTCAGTGCTGACATCACTTACGCATCCCACAGGGCATGCTATGTGTCGTGCGCACACCACGCAGCTTGCACAAGTGACATCAGTACCCCCTGCAGTGTGTGCACACGGCCACTGTGGAATTTTGAGGGGGCTGAGACTCCTCGAATTTTTTTTGGGGGGGCCTTGTCCCCTCCCCCATGGCACCCCTGGCACTAGTTTCTTCAAAATACCTGTGATGCTTTCTGACTCTCACTTGCAGCCCCTATTACCACCTATCACTAGTCATTTCTCACCCAGTACAGTGGTACTTCAGGTTAAGAACTTAATTTGTTCTGGAGGTCTGTTCTTAACCTGAAACTGCTCTTAACCTGAAGCACCACTTTAGCTAATGGGGCATCCTGCTGTCGCCGCACCGCCGGAGCATGATTTCTGTTCTCATCCTGAAGCAAAGTTCTTAACCTGAGGTACTATTTCTGGGTTAGTGGAGTCTGCAACCTGAAGCGTATGTAACCCGAGGTACCACTGTATTAGGGCATTTGCTTTTGAGTTAACTAAACTGCATATTTGACCTAGTAAACAAGCAGACGTGTTGCAACAATGTCTTTGGAGATTGTCCAGGTTCCATTTCTATCCAGACCTGTTACTGGAAGCCAGCTGATAACCAGCATTTCCCAATTAACTCTTTATTCGGTTGTTTATGCCCATTTTATTGAGCAAAAGTCATCATAACCATACCCTTATTTCTCTACTCTGAATTACCTCCTCCAAAAGTTTGCTTTTTTTGTTCAGGGATAGAGAAAATGTGACACTTCAGATGTTGTTGACTCAGGGACCAGGGAAACTGTAAATGCTTTCGTTTGTACTGTGATGGAGCACGCGTGAAAGACTACCGTATTTTTCCGTGTATAAGACTATATTTTTCCCTTCAATTTTTGAAGTTTAAAATAAGGGTCGTCTTATACACGGATAGTGAATACAGTGGTACCTCGGGTTAGGAACTTAATTCGTTACGGAGGTTTTGTTGTTAACCTGAAAACTGTTCTTAACCTGAAGCACCACTTTAGCTAATGGGGGCCTCCTGTTGCCACTGTGCTGCCACCGCACGATTTCTGTTCTCATCCTGAAGCAAAGTTTTTAACCCGAGGTAATATTTCTGTGGTTAGTGGAGTCTGTAACCTGAAGTGTATGTAACCTGAAGCGTATGTAACCCAAGGTACCACTGTAGTGCAGTTTCTTAATTTTGAGTCCCAGAAAATAGGGGGCGTCTTATACCTGGGGAAGTCTTATACATACAAAAATATGGTATATTTGAGTGACAGGGGCATGCATGGGACCACACCTTTTCTGTGACATATCTATGATGTCTTGATGATGCTTCTGGAAATGTATTATGGGGAACTTTGGGAAACTTTAAAATACTGATGTAACCATTGTTCAGGGCTTCGGGCTTCTTCTCTTTGTGGTAGCGAGAAGTCTTGTCACAGCAATAAAGATCAGGTCTACAGGTCGCTGTTTTGCTTCTATCTCCTGGCTGAAGTCTTTTGCTTGTGACCCTTGACCTGAACCTATGGGAGCCAAGGTTAGGCAATTGTGGGGTGCTCCAAGGACTCCCTTATACAACTCTCATCGGCCCCAGGCAACATAACTGTCATATTCCAAGTGGATCTCCACAGAGCTTAGGGGCTTACGTATAAGCCTCTCACCAACGTCCTCACCAACAAGGGTAGAGTTGCAGGCGCAGCACACCGAACAAACCAAGACCAGGCACAGAGAATCAGTCTAGGTACAAAATATGATCTAGAGACAAGAGCAG